GGGCCAGGGCTGCTCATGCAGTGAGATTGTGAAATGGTGTCCCTTGGCCTGATCTTCTCCTGGGAGAGATTTGTGGAGTGTGGCTGGAGACGGTCCTCACCTTGCTGTTCTGCACAGCAAGGTCCTGCATGGTCCCTCAGTGCACAGAGCAACTGGATCCTCTTTTGCAGTAGCTGACCCCTTTTCTTCTCCTCTTAATCTCATGGGTTCCTGGGAGCTTCCCCATCTTCCTTTGTTTTATTCTGCATTCCATGCCTGCATATTTTTTGTTATGCATCACCAGGTGTCAGGGACAATAGTGAAAGGAGCTGAAACCAGAATAAATGTTGCATGATCTTGTAGGAAACCTTTTCCTCTATTTAAGCTGGAAAGCACAGATTTGATTATTATTTTTTATTATTATTTTAAATATTTTTTTGCATTGCACAATCCAGAGAGTAACTGAAAGTGGCAGCATTGCTGCTATAGTCATTTTTAAATGAGGAGGTTACTATAACATGTAGTAGAGATGACAATAAAATTGAAACCATATGATGGTACAGGGAGTGTAAATGGCATGTACAGAATCTCAGTCAGTAAATTGGAATGTTATTGCTGAGCTCAGCACAAAGTACCATTCTGGTCAGGGTTTGGTCTCCTAGCAAAGTTGAATACCTGCCTTTTAGCATCTCTGCTCCATGGAACATTTCAAACCACTAAACATAGGCTAGTTACAGAGCTGTAGATAAAATATGTTACGTTTAACAAAGAACTATAACATATTAGGTCCCTAATTGGAGGAAGCAGGCTTTGAAATTATATGTTGTTGTGATTTCTTTGTTATGCTGTGAATTTACGGATCTTTTATATGTTTTAAAATCAACAATTTGGGACTTTCTTTGGGAATGTTTGAAGTCAGTGGTATCTATTTTATTTAAAATTACCTGTTAGGTCAGACATGAGAAGATTTTACTAAAATTTGAGTAACAAAGTGCTATTACAAAACAGATTGTCAATGTCAGATGCAAATTAACAACTGGCCAAAGCAGAAGTTTCAGCTGGTCCAGCTTTTCCCTGTTACAAATTCTCATTTCCTTTTTTGGCTGGCTGTGTTGGAATCACTGCTCTGGTGATGGCAGGTGCCACTCACCTGATAATCAGTGCAGGTTCATCCTCTCCTGTGGCCACCTAAGCCATTAGCTCCCAGAAAGTGATGGCAAAGCTGCATTGTCTGGGTGTCCTCAAGCTGCTGAAGGTGGTGCTTACTCTCTCCAGTAAGAGTAAACTGGGTTGGCAAGTACTGCTGAGCCTGTTTGCAGCCATGCATTGCTCCAGCTGTTGGCACTGCATTATACACCAGAGTACAGGTGTAAGAAAGAGCAGGATGTGGGGTGTCAAATCACCTAAGTGGAAAATTACATTATGACATTAATGCTGTGTGCAATTTTTAATGTGCATTGAGGGACCTTAGGATACTGGTGCCACAAAATGCATTTGCACTAAGTAATGGCCTGGGTTACTTGCACAGTTCTTCCTCCAGTGTAACCTTAAAGGATCTCCTGGTTTGCAAAGTTGTGTGTTTTTTCAGCAGTGCAGTCTGGCCAGAATGGAACAGCAAAGGATAACTGTATTTACATTATTTATTAACAGGCAGAAAATTGCTCCTTGTCCCAGAACATTAATGCTGCTTCTCATGTCCCCCTTCCCATGGTGCTCATTCTGAACTGCTTGCCATTGTTTTCTTGTACAGCTTCATGTATTTACAGTTCTTCCATTTGATATCAGTTATAGTTAAGTACCACTGAATTTATTTTTAGCTTTCTGGTGCGTGCACTGCATTTGTAATTGTGCTTATTTGAAAATGATTGGGAGAAACAATCTCAGTTGTACTTTTTTCCCAGTGTTGCGTTGACATTTTTGATTGCATCTATACTTTGGAAAAATCTCATGATAATTTTCCTTCTTATTTGTTTTCTTATATTATCCTATGCATGTGCTTGATGACCTTTCTTTCAAGTAATTTTTACTTTTCTCTTTTGTTTCTCATTTCTTTTCCTCATTTGCCTGAATTCCTGCTTCTCCCCTACTCCCCAACCTCTCCTGATTGATGCTTACTCCCCCCGGCCTATTGCAGTTCTCTGCCTCTGAAAGCTTCAAAGAATGACAAATCAAGAAGTTTGAAAAAAATCTCTCGGTAAGAATGAACCCAAGGTGACATACTTTGTTGTCTCTGCACTTAGCTCATCTCCAGCTGTAATCTAGGAATTGACATCCTTTTGATTGCTGCTTTTATACTGTGGGGCAGTGGGAGACTGTACATTTTCTACCCTAGTGTGTTTAGTTTTGTGCTGAGGAAAAGTAAATATTTTCACTCATTAAGACTGAGAGTTGAACACAGAACTCTGCATTTGCTAGGATGCTACTTTGAAATGTCAGAGCACAACTCTGCTGAGAATGCAAAGGAGTTTAAACCTTTTGGGGTGAGCTGAGTAAGACAAGCTTTAGGCTCTTAAAAGGGTGCTGTTTGCCTCCATCAAAGAAAACTCCAGTTTAGAACCTGTGAAATCTTTAGCATCTGTGTTGCCTTTTGGAACTGTTGCTCTTAGGCTGCTCTGTGAGACAGACACCCTTCTGGCTGGGCTTGGCTTTACTCTAGAAAGACTTAGAGCTCACATTTGTTAGTTGGTAGTCAAGAGGTAGAAATGTTGATTCCCTCGTTTTAAACCCCTAAATTCCTGCATTTTTCTTTGCTCAAAATAACAGCTTTCCTGCACTTTCAGGGTAAGTTAGTTCCTTAGGATCCTGTGATGACTAATTTATGACCTTACTTGTAGGGGCAGATACCAGCAGTGGACTTGATATTGTTTAAGGCACTTGTTGCTCCCAAAAGAATGATAAATCCTGGCTGGTTTTGTGCCAAGCTCCATCCAGCCACATCCCCAGGCACTACTTCAGTGCAGTGTCCCTTTACAGCCTGCCAGGCTGAAATACTAGAAACCAGAGTGAGTCCTTTGGCCTTCCCAGTGGTGCTGCTGGGGGAGTTCTGAGACAAGCAGATACCTCTGATTGCTTGGGCTCAGTTTGTGTCCTGCATCTTGTTCTCGGTATTTTTAACATCTTATACTGAACAGGAGCTTCTAAAGCATGGAGTAGGGTAATTTCTCATTCTGAAATACTCTCAATTGTGTGCTGAATTAACACTTGTTTTGATGCAATTTATTTTTAGGTCTGCCTCAGACAGATATATATTATAGGTACAGTAAAATTACAAGAGTCAGCAGTTTGCTCTCAAGGTGTTTTTCCATGCACACATGATCAGAAATCCACTGTTTGTATTGGCCACTTTTATGAGGATTTTTTCCTTGATATTTTCAATCTGTTTGTAGAGAGCAGGTGTAGACTTTCTTCAAGATTTTTGAGAGATACGAGCAATGTGTTAAACCACCCTTTGTGTATGTAATTATGTGTATTAACACTGGACTAAGTAACGTTGGGTGATATATAGGAGCAGAAATACAGTAGAAATTAGTCAATTCAGATTACTTGAGTTCTAAAGTCTTAATCTCATGGAGGGTTCAGTTGTCAGGGGCCTTAAATGCTAAGTTTGCTGTTGTGTTGTTAAAAGTGTTCTCCCTGTGTTACAGAGAGTTCATCAGTTACATGAAGCGATCCCGAACCTTTTATGCCTCTATAGCAGAAAGGCTGTGTGATGGAGACCTGGTGATGAGAGACAGCTCAACCTGCTGGAATGGAGAGGATGTTGTAGAAAGGTAAAGTTACAAGTGAAATTTTGTCCTTATGGTGAAGAAAGTGTCTTTATATCCTTCTGATGGTTCAGGAGCATTCTCTTCAGGCACTTGTCATTGTTTTTCCTTCATAGAGAACTTGCTTAATTGAGAAAGGGTTTTGCAAAAATAAGAGGTTGTTGATGCTGAGTTTTATGTCTGTATTAAATATAATGGAATGCTTTCTTGAAGGGCTGCTCTGTAGAGTCCCTTTCTTTCAAAGTTAAGAGACAGCTCTCTGTAGAGAGATCCTGCCTGGTAAAACTCTGTGAGCAACCAGTACCTCTGTACTGACTGGAGGTCCCTTCCAGCCTGCTGTTGATAGGCTCATTAGTGCAGAGCTGAGCATCATGCTTGGCCATGATTAGAAAATATGTAGGTTTTCCTGCAAAGGTGTCAGAAAGACAGCAACCAGACCATTAACTTTTCTAAAGAATTATCCTGCCATTTCTTTCCAGAATTTCTGCTGTAGCACTTGGAATAACAACTGGTTTTAGAACTGAGCAGCATCCTTACAAGAGCATGTTCTATAAGCATTCTGATAAAGTAACAATTGGTAACTGCACTGCTCCAGGTTGGTGGAGCAGCTAGAAGCTCTGCAGGGTGTAAAGATCTTGGGAGTTTGACAGTGTATTTTTTTCCTTCTTCTGTTCTTTATCACAATCTTTCCCATCACCCTTTAGACTCTAAACTGGAATATATACCTGTATTTCCATGAGCTAAACTTCTTGCTGGAATTTCTTTTACTCTGTACAACATGAGGCAACATTGCCCCGAGGAGAAAGAGATGTTTAGAACACAACTATATCTTTACCATCACTGTCAAAGTATACATCATTTTATGCAGGGAGAGCTCGTTGGGAGTTTGCCAGTGAAAGTTCTCCAAAAATTTCTCTTTGTCAAAACAGACACATTCTGTGGGGTTGTGTTGGCTTTCATGGTGTTTCTTTTTGAAATGTATTTTGTGGTCTGTAGCAGTTACAAAAGATAAAGTTCTAGCATTCTGTTTTCTTGCTTTAAAACAATTTTCATGATTGCAGATCGTTTTGTAGAACTTACAGAATAATTTCAGCATGGAACAGAGGGAGATGTGACAATTATTATCTGTTCCATTAAAGGGAGTTCTGACTTCCCACACAACTCTGCTTAGATTTCTCATGTGTAAACAACTTCAGCTTAATTACATCTGAGGTATTCAGAGATAAGTGCATGTCTAAAAAATCCAAAGATAGCTTTAAAGTTTCGATGTATACTGTCATTACAAATTAATTATACAGCATATGTTTGAACATTTTGGCAACAATTCATGTTCTAAATATTGATGTAGAGTGGTTGTAATACTGGCAGAAATTTTTACTGTAAAAGTAATGAAGAGGAAACAGGGAGAATCTCAGTATTTCAGAATCCCATTCACTGGTGACAGGTTGCTGGAGACACAGTTAACTTTTAGAACAAACAGCTTTCTGGCCAAAAGAAAAACAAAAAACAAACAAAAATAAACAAACAAACATTTTGTGTATCAACAGAAAAAAAAGCTAATAAAATGTTGCATTTAATTTTTATCTTGTTTGAAAAAAACAATCCACAGCACTTAAATTGCTAATACATGTTTTAGAAAGGTGTGAAGGGGAAAGCTGTTGTTATTTTCCTCTGCCAGTCTGTAACTTTCCCAGATCTGGAGACACATGGAAAAGTTTCAAGTTTGCTGGGAAAAGCAGCAGGGAAAAGGCTAACAAGATCCCTCATATTTTGTATTAAAAAGTAAAAGCAAATACAAAAAACTTCAAACAACCTACCCCCAAAGATGACTGCAGCAAAAACCCAACCCCACCATCCAACACTCTATGTGTATTTGTAGTTAACATATCAAAGGGGCCCAATGGAAAATAAAATGGTTAAATTCCTGTTTTTAATAAGACAGAAATATATCTATATAAATAAAATAGAACATACGATATAATAATATGTAAATATTATATGTTTATATATTGATTGCCTTAGATGGAGGAGACTCTCTGGGCAGCCTGCAGTGCCAGCAGTGCACACAGCAGCACAAAGAGGGCTCCTGCTTGCTGGCAGGTTTTGCTCCTGTCATCAGCTGTTTTATAGGCTGAACTTGTCACAGTTCTTCCCACATGAGACATAAACCTGTCCTGGTGATGGCTGAAGGTGCATTTCTCTCTGCTCCTTCTCCTTTTCCAGGACACCACAGAATTAAATATCAGCAGTAGTAAACAGCTCTGAACTCAAAACAGAGTCTTATTATTAACTGTGTATCAGCAAATAGATCACCCCAATTAATCTGGTGGATCTCCTGTGAACCTGAGCTGAAGGTTACTCAGGCTGTGGAGTTGGCAAAAGCTAGGGTTCCCATTTCCTCGACACTTCTTGCATTTCATAATGCTGTTTGAGAGCTGAGCAGTATTTATGCTGTGCTAACTGGCACACAAACTCTTTAGGAAAAACAAACTCAACTTGTAAAAACAATTTGCCACACAAATGCAGCCTGAAACAATATGAAATGATTACTCAGAAATGAGGATCATGCACTCACTTAGTAGAGAGGGCACTTGAGGTCTGACAGGGGAGCTGAGAAGCAGAATCAGCATTATATCTTTTTATTTTGTTAGAATTCTTTGGATTGGGTTTTATTGCATTGAAGTCAATGCACAAAAAGTTTGAGGTGCCTGTAAATACACCATAAAAAGAACCTGTTTTTTCCCACTGGTTTGAGAATATGCTATTTTAGAGTGCCATTAAATAGTTAGCAGAGAGCTCCTGAGCCCCATTTGTTTGATGAGAGTCTCACTCTAACTAAAACAGAGTGGGGAAAAATGGAATTGAAAAATCTGCTTCCTATGTGTGAAACTGTGCCTAACCAGATTCTTGAACACATGGACAGCAGGAAGGGAAGAGTGTCTCAAAAGCTGTTACCCATCACTAGACTTCTCAACTGTTGAGATTACACTGTAGTTTACTGTTGATTACCACAGTAGTTATTTTTCTTCACAAATTTGCATTTATTTTTCCAGTCACGGGCCATTTCTAATATTGCACAAGACTTATGCTATCAGGCACAAGCTTTCAGCCTCAATTTTCTGTTCGGTCGAAAGGGTATGTATTAGGCTTCTGGGGCCACTTGCAGTGCTGTGTTGGAGAACCAGGATACAGAGCTGAAAAGTGAGTGGTCATGAAATACCTTCTATGTGTCCCATAACTACCTGTGAGCGAGGTGCCTCCTCTGCTGGGGGAGAGCTGTCGAGATCAAAAAGAACATGTGCCACAGTTGCTGTGCTGTGCAGTGAGACCTGATACCTTTGGAATTCCAGACAGAAGTTTTTAAATAAAAATGAAAGATTGTCCCTAAAGAGCCTTTCATGCCTCGGATGCTGCAGCCAAGTGGTGCAGCTTTGGGTTCAGTTGTGCTGTGTGGGTGTGAGCAACAACACCCTGAAGTACAGGCTGGGTTGTAGCCATGTGCTTGAGAATAGATATCATTTTACACACTACATGTATATACAACCTTCCTTTTTATGCTATAAAAGACACTTTTCCAAGCATACATAGTGAATTTTAGGAGCAAGCCTTCCCTCATTTCCCTCTCCCTTGTGCAAGGAACGACTGCACACATGCCCATGTACATGTGCTGCATTGTATTAAAGCTGCTTCTTGTGGCCTTTCAGAGCATGTATTTAAGGATTTTCTATTAATTAGTAGAATCCTGACTAAATGAGGAAAGAATTGTTTGCTCCTGACTTGTATGACTTCTGAAAATTAATGTTTGGGCTTGCCAATGAGAATTGAGTTTCCATTGTTCAGGAAAGATTTATTAGTTTGGTCAGATATGTAAGAATTTTTTTACAGTTTTGGCCTGAAATCAGGTTTTCTGGTGAGGCTTTTCCTTCCCTCCTCACCACAAATTTTAATAATGTTAAGGCATGTCTTCACTGTGGCTCATGCTGGAAAAAGGGTGTGAAGAAAAGTGACAGAAGTGGGTGATGTTTGTACATGATACCCAACTCATAGAAACCTGTGTCAGGTCGTTTGGCTGGACTGGTCTTTGGAATTTAAACTGATAAGCCTTTATGCTTGAGAGTTTTTGTTGTTGTTTTGTTTTTGTGGACTTTTTTAATGCAGTGATCAAGGAAAGAGAATTTTGAGGATTAGAGTCCTGGAAACTATTAATAGATTTACCTCAGTGTAGATATTTCATTAAATGTTATTATATGTCAGGTCTTGGGAGACAAGGGGTAACAGGGTCAAATTGAAGGAGGGGAAGTTTAGGTTAGATATTAGAAAAAAGGTTTTTACTGTAAGGGTGGTGAGACACTGGCACAGGTTGCCCAGGGATATGGTGGCTGCCTTGACCCTGGCAGTGTTCAAAGCCAGATTGAGTGGAGCCTTGGGCATCCTGATCTAGTGAGGTGTCCCTGCCCAGAGCAGGAGGGGTTGTGACTAGATGATCTGTAAGGTTCATTCCAACCCCTAAAATTCTGTGATGCCATAAAATAGAGAAAGCCAGTAGCAAGCAGGTAGGTTTGTCATGTGGCAGAAGAAGAGCACAAGGAGCCTGATTCAGGGCATGAGTAAGTTCTTACCCAAGGTTTGGTTGTCAAGTTTGATAGAATGATTTGTGGTCCTCACTTCTTCTGGATTGGAGGAATTTGTCTGACTGAGATCTTGGGGCATGACCTCGTGGTAGGCAGCAGCCACCTTGATGCTCAGGCTGCATTTGGGGTCACTCAAGGAACTGTGCTGGCAGCTTCACTGAACCTTTTACAGTTCAGCCTCAAGGAAGAACAGAGAAACTACTTCCAAAATTTTGGTACTTAAAGACTTTTGCTCCCTGTTTTAAAATTGCATTTTGGGTTGTGTTTCTGTGCATAGTACAGTTAAAAATCATCCTGATGTGGTGAATGCAGTTTTGTGGATTGACTCATGGTGACCCCATGACCACCTCTCTGATGGACTTTCTTCCTATTAGT